AGCAAAGAAAACTAAACAAAAAGGTAACTGCAAAAATCCAACACTTATAGCTTATACATGTAGAATTATGTGTGAACGTGTGCGTGAATGTACGTTGGTACGTATGTCTATGCGCGCCTGTGTAGACACGTGCCTGCATGCGCATACACACGCACAGACACACACACACCTGTGCAGACGCGCGTGCACACGCACAGACACAGACACACTTGTGCAGACGCGCGTGCACACGCACAGACACAGACACACCTGTACAGACACATGTGCACACGCAGACACACAGACACACCTATGCAGACACGCGTGCACACGCACAGACACAGACACACCTGTGCAGACGCACATGCACACGCACAGACACACCTGTGCAGACGCGCGTGCACATGCACAGACACAGACACACCTGTGCAGACGCGCATGCACACGCACAGACACAGACACACCTGTGCAGACACGGGGAGCCTCGGGCCCACTGGGATACTTAGCACTGTAGTAAGTTCCCTGGAAAATTCACGTGTGCGATACATTTAAAAAGCACTGTCTTGGGGCGGTGAAAGAAAATCCGCAGGCATTTTCTCAGAATGCAGAACAGAAAGGCAGAGAACATGCATATGGAAACGCAGCGCAGTCAGAGAGCGCGGGCAAAGCGTTCCATGTCCCTCCCACGGGCCGACCCAGACCGGGCGGGGGCAGCGGGGGGCGGGTGGAGTGACCGAGAATGACTGGGAATCAAAGACACCTCCAAGGGGACCTGACCTTAAACCGCACACCACAGAATGAAGAAATGAGCTCCAGGTGCACAACCACCGAGGACGCCGACTGACCACTGGGTGGCACACGTGGGACAGATCCCAACAGCAGGCAAAGCCCTGAAGGCTGACCCCACCTGCCGCCTGTGTCCACCTGGGCTGAGTGTTTGCTAGGGTGACAGATTGGCGTTCGCAACGGTATTTCAACAAGACCCAGGGGCCCGTAACAGTCAAACGACCAGGGCACAAACCGAGAGCGCCGAGCTCGTGAAGAGTGGGGGAAAGGGGTTCCCAGACGCCAGGACGCACGTAGATGTCACGGACATTAGAGCATTCAGACAAGACTGAAAGTAGTTACTGAAAAAAATGCTCCAACAAACATTTGCAAACACTCTCGAAATGAATGAAAAGATAGAAAGTCTAGCAAAAAGACAGAAGATACAAAGAAGAAATAAATGGAAATTTTAGAGCTGAGAAAAACAACAGTCGTCCCCATTGTTCGTAGGGGACACGTTCCAAGACGTCCATTGACACCCAAAACCGCAGGTAGGACTCAACGCTACGTTTTTCCCTGGCCCGCACACCTGTGGTAGAGTTAAACTGATCGATGAGGTGCAGGAAGGGATTCGTAACAACGTGCTAATCAAGTAGAACGATTACAATGATATGCTGTCATCAAAGTGAACATGGTCTCTTTCTTCAGTGATTTTTACATTTTTCATTCCAGACCTACTGCTGAATCTGGGCGGCCGTCCCTTACGTGGACTGTGTCCGGGGGCCGACGTCCTCGCGGAGGCTGCTTTCCGGCCCAGCAGGCGGCCGATAATGGGAGCAGGCCGTCTGTCCGCGCCTTCTGCCCACGAACCAATGACCTTTTCTGTCTGAACGAAGCGCCGATCACACGCAGCGGCTGTGACTTCAGTTTCTGAAAACGTGTCTGGCGTTGGAAGCGAAATGTGCGTGTGCGATGGGGTTTCGTTGCATGCCGAAGGGACCCACAACGTGACGAGGAGGTCCCTGCGCCTGCCGGAGAAAACACGAATCCCCAAGGGATAAGCGCGGGACGGGAGCCACGCAGGAGGAAGGAGCCATCGCCGAGACAGTCGCCCAGGCATAATCGGTGACAGTTTGCTCTGCTGTGTCACCAAATATTCACACTCATAACACCATGCACCTTTTAAAGAAAAGGCAGGATCACGGTCCCCGTGCCGTCCTGTGACCTCCTCTTCACCGTTTCGCCGCCCGCCTCACGTCGGAGCGGGTCTGGGTGCGGGCATCTGAGCGTCTCCCGTTCCGCAGCGGCCTCACAGATCGTGCAGACGAATCGGAGTGTGTTTAACGTGCTATCGTCAGCGTGCGATTTGTTCCCGGCGTTTCTCTATCGTAAACATACGCCCACGCACATGCGTCTTTTTTAAGGAGACCCCGGGGGCCCACGCGGTCTGGGTCTCCAGTTTCCTGCGTCCCGGCCTGGCCGGTTAGAGTGAGCCATTCCCACTCCGGCCCCGACCCCCGGCGCAGCGTATCCTGGTACCTCCTGTCGCGGAGACGGTTTGGAAGAGGAGTCAGAGACCGGAAATGTGTTATTGGCGTGGATGAGGGAGAGGAGGGTGGCCATGCTGGCATCCCCCGCCCCGTCTCCACGGCCTTTCATTAC